TTTAGCAAGAAAATACTGTGAAACTCTGTCAAAAAACCTTAGTGTTTCAAGAGCTTCAAACACAACTTCGAATCTCCTGTCCCAAAACCTCATTTGTACCCAGGTTGCTTCTTGATTAAAGAAGTACGCCCCTACAGCTTCTGACCACATATACTCTCCATCCACCCCTTCAAAAAAGAACCTGTCCAGAACACCATCAGAGCTAAAAGCTAGCTCTCACTCACAAACTTTTCCAACAGCCAGGTAAGCACCTGCTGACCTTCATCACGCTGCTAGGCATCATCAGCTTTGCATGCTCAAATAAACATAATGTAAATATCATGTTGTTGCTGTTTGCGTTCTGAGGATTTTCATACCTTAGAATGTTTAAGTATGAAGTGAATCAGCATAGAACCTGCCTGTGACCTTGTTGGTTTTGTCTCCTAAAAACACTTTGACATTTGCTGAAGTTATCCCAAACATGTTTTTTGTTTTGTGGAACAATAACAAAACTGCAGATGTTTTTACTAGTACAGGGAGAAGCCAAATGCTGACTTTGACGTTATCACATCTGAAGCCTGTTTTGCTGTCAATAATATCAGAACTTCTGAGAATTATTGTATTTCCAGCAGGATTAGAACTTCTGATATCCCCACTAACAAACTTTTGTCTTGCAGCGCATGGGGGTCGGAACTTCTGATCTTCCCACTAACAGGTTTCTGTTTTGCAGGTGCTAGAGTCAGAAGTTCTGACTCATACAGTTTAACCCAAAGGTTGATAATCTGGCGGCAGGCCTGAGTCAGAACTTCTGATGACCTCTCAGCAGCGCGCTGGCTCTCTCTCTCTTTCTCTCTATCTTGCCTTTGTTATTTTCTTTTCTTATCTATTTTTCTCCTCGAACCACCCCATGTACAAATATGTATCCCCACCCCCCTAATTATTGTAATAGCGCAGGATTTTATATTTCTGCTTTTTTACCGCTTTCAAATATAAATGCTAGTAATTAGGATGTGTATGGCAAGATAAAATCAATGAAATAGAAAATATTAATTCAAAGATAAACTCTTATATGCAATAAAACCCACTTGCACACAAACATGGGCCATGTTTGCATGCCAAGTACTTTGGCAAAACAAAACAAAACAAAATCAAACAAAGTGATCATAGTCCCTCAATGACGCTTTCTTGTTGCCTAAACAAAATGATCATAGTCCCTCAAGAAAATTGCCAAAGACACTTGACACTATTGCATTCATAGTCTAAACGATGACCCGCGCCCGTCCCGTTTACATCCTAACACAAGGTTGTTCACAAAATACAATGGTGAAACAATACTGTTAAAAGGGTTAAAAACATAAGGAAAGATCTTTGAGTAAAATAGGGTAGACAACTCTTGGTTACTTGACCAATCTTGCAAAACAATCCTTGCCATTTTTCAAAACACACATCACAACACAACTTCAAAACAAACTTTCAAAAAACATTGAAACATCTTTTCAAAAAGACAAACACCCTTGTAAAACATTCAAACAAGAATTGTTACAATGGTTGCCTAGACAAGGCATCTTTTTAAAAACATTTTCAAAACCACACACACAAAGCACCATTTCAAACAATTGAAAATGCAAAGCAAGTGATCTAAGCAAGTAACTAAGATCCCATGGATAACCATGGATAGAAAGGGTGCTAATGCCTTCCCTTTCTATAATCTACTCCCCGAACCCAAGAAAACATCTCAAAGGTTTTTCCTGTACTTTTTAACCTTTCCTTAGGATAAAATAAAAAGTCGATGGCGACTCTTGCTAAACCGAAACATTTGCGAACAAAAAATGCAAAACCTCAAGTCAGTTCTCCCACCGTACCACAACATATATACTAGTCCTGATGTAACCGTCATCAACGGTCGATGCAACACAATATACCATGTTTCCAATGTCATGCAAACTTCATCTTCATCAGCTTTACACGTGTACCTGAGAAACTGTTTGATCTTATCCACAATTTAAGTGCATTCGATGAAGCAATTAAATGTTTTGTTGGATACTTAAGATTTCACTAAGTCCAAAACACACATCCTTATCCTACGTTGATGACTATTCGAGCAGAACTGACCTTGTCCTTTGATGAAAACCAATTCCTTTTCGGTAACGGAATTAATGGTCAAAAACTTAACCATTTCGACTTCTAATCTTTAGGCATTATACTTGTATCAAAAATCCAAGGTAACAAGGGTATGGAAGACTTGACGGACTTGAATTAAGGTGGTGTGTTGAGAATATAATATAATTCAAGTCAATGCAACATGTTGCAATTTTATGTCAACAGGTTACATCTCGTTATACAGTGTTTAGTTTTTCAAACAGAACCATAATGTAACTGGTTGACATAGTATGTTAACATGTTACATCTGTAGTTTTTCCTCTAGATTCTAAGACAATAGATTAATGCAAGTAAGAGTTTTTTAGTTTTTCTGTTTGATAATTGTATCTTATATATATAGTGTTTAGTTTTTCAAACAGAACCATAATGTAACTGGTTGACATAGTATGTTAACATGTTACATCTGTAGTTTTTCCTCTAGATTCTAAGACAATAGCTTAATGTAAGAATTTTTTAGTTTTTCTGTTTGATAATTGTATCTTTTATATATATATATATATATATATATATATATATATATATATATATATATATATATATATATATATATATATATATATATATATATATATATATATATATATATATATATATATATATATATATATATATATATATATATATATCCTTTGGGTATCTCATGAATGAATTAATGCTCATATTTTCACCTTCAATTACTCTCCCTCATTCTCTCACTCTCCCTCTCTGCACTCAATTATTCACGAATTTTATAGTTCCAAGTTCTAACATTTGGATCAAAAGTCTACTTTAATTTATCAAACACCTAATGTGCGAAAATGACATTTGTCTCCAATGAAAAATCTCTGCAAATTTACTTATTTGTGATGCGAAGAATTACGACAAGTGGTGCAAATAAATGAAGGTGTTGTTTGGTTATCAAAATATTCTTGAAGTGATCAAAAATGAGATAACTACACTTACTAATTAATTTTTAAATAGAATTAGGATGATGTGTGTTATTATTTATTTTAATACGTTTTTTATTCTTGTACATGTGTCTACTTTTTTGTGTTTTTCTAGTAATTAGTCTTAATTTACATGTTGAAGTTCTAGTTAAAAAATATCTTATATCGATCTCTTTGATTATAATTAAAAAATTTATAAATTAAATAATAAATCAAATTATAAAAAATTGATGGTCCAGCTCGCTTAGTGGCAAACTAATTCGTAAATAGAATAGACCTAGCTTTTAAACTTGAATACTTAAGTTTGCCTCCATTTTATTTTTAGACAAATTTAAATGGAGCATGTCTGAACAGCCGTCCACCCCTAAGTATTTGTATAAAAAAATCTTTAAATTTGTGCATTTAATTCTTTGAAAATACATATTATTTTATTTAATTGATCACTTTCAATATTCTTAACTTATAGTCATAAATATAGGTGAGAACAGGCTGGGTTAAGTTAAGTTTTATCAAACTTAAGTTTGATATGTTAAAAAATTTAAAACTTAAGTTTGACTTGCGGTCTACTATAGACTAATTTTTTGGACTGAACTTAACCTTTTAGAATGTCCGGTTAATCTATTAGTCTAATTAAAAAGTATATATCATTTAAACATATGTAAATAAGAAATTCAACCAATATTTAAATACTCTATAAATCAAAAATACAATGAGACTAAATATTTCTTTACATTGACTTATATGAGTTGATATAGTAACACAAGTGTCGAGAGATTGTTTGTTAAGAAAAATTTATGAAAAATAAATTATGACATAATTCATAAAAAAAATTCAATTTATTTTCACAAAATTTTCAAAATAACTAAACCTTACATTTATATTTTAATATAAAATATAAAATACAATATTAAAAAATTATATATTTATTCATATTTATTAAAATGAAGAGCGTGATAAGTTTGAAAGACACTTTTAATGATCCGAGGTCTAACCTATTTAATTAAACAAAGTTAAAAGAAAAATTTTAATCTTTTCTACTTAAAAAAAAATCTGGCTTGACCGTGATCTCTGTAGATTAGGCCGGCCCTTGTATAAAAATAAAAGTCGAAGCGCCTAAGCGTGATTCCTCCACTCACACAGAAGAAGCTGCAAAATAGTTGCTGACTCCACTACGCAAAAGTCGGTGCTGGCTTGTGACGTGTTTGCTTCGTATTGGAGACAACTCAGAGATGGTTGAAATGTCGGCCGTTCTTGATGTCGACAATTTTTATCTCCTCTCGAACTTTATCATAAATTAAGCTACCAACTCACAATGATCAACATTCGAAAAATTATACTCGCGAAAATAGGGATAATAATTCGGCGACCCAACCTGTCACATGTTTTTTATTTAAAAAAACTTAGCAGATGTTTAGTAGCTTAATTAATTAAGCTAACAATATAAAAAATTTGTACCAATAATTTGTCTTGCGCAGTGTCGTCGGATGTATATAGAAAATATGAAATGTGACTCTTGCTCCTTTAAAAAAGCTTTTGTATATAAAATTGAACAAAACTAACAAAGAATTGAACAATGGGGGCCATAATATTATTCCAGCAACACATGTTTCCATAAATATTGAAGCATCTGATTTACACAAACGAATGCTTCCAGGTTTAAATCGTATCATATGAATAAATTCATGTACAAAGAGAGCAAAAAAGGAAAACGATTTTGAAAATGATTTTTATAGTGAAGTTAGATTGTTGCTTGGATATCCTTGATCAACCTTTCCCGTCATTTTTATAATACATTTGAGGCTGACCCTTCCCGTGGATGAAGTTACTAGACAAGTAAAATCTCTACTAGCAGTGCAATGAGCACCCCACTTGCCAGTTGCCAGTATGATATATAGTGGTAGCTGCTGGAAACAATCAAAGTCCAGACTAAAAAAACTACTGGACTATTATTGCATTGTCCTCTTCCTGCAACTCCTTGAGCCGTCTCTTGGCATAAACTGTAATAATGATGGTTGTAGCCACAGTTAAACAGAAGCCTAAAGCATTGAAAATGATCTGCTGGGCAGATAGAGCTTGTCTTTCATTTGTAGCATCAGCCAGTGTCCGGATCAAAATTCCCCTGCAGTAAATATCCATTAAGTTCTATATGGTCCAGATATTTTGCGTCAGTTTCTCAATCTTTATGGGCAAACAAACATTGGAAATGGGTAACCGAAAATAATGGATTACCAGAGAAACATAAAATACATGTGAAATGCAAGGAACTAATGGATTACCAGAGTAACATAAAATAGTTTTATGTTGACATTCAGTTGCAAAATAACCAATACAAAAGTGGAGCAACGGCGCCCACTCTTTAATTCCTTCATTTTAATAAAACCCTTTAATTCTTTAGATGAAATGCTTTTGTCAGAAATAGATTCAACTATACAAGGTAAATTCTTAAAGATCTTGTAGGTAGGTGAATAAAAGAAAAAAGGGTCCAAACATTAAATTGACATCAACAGCTTTAATTAAAGATACCTTTCAAAGCAAAAAGATTTAAAACTTAAATTTTTCCCATAAGCTTAGGAGGGAAAATTTGCCCTATTTCAAGGTAAGGTTGTGCTAAAAGCCCTAAGTGAAGGGCTGCAGTGGTGCTTACTGCTTACAGATGGGCTACAAATGCAATGCAAAACCACCAGCATGAGTCAAACACAGACCTTGTTGTCGCCCCAATTTGATCCCACCGGTTAACTAACTCTTATCTGCTAGGGTTAAGTATTAGGCTTGTGAGAATAGAACAGTTATGAAGTTGTACTAGCCTTCTATTTCTTTAACCCTTCCAAAATGAGACGACAATAAAAATATCAACACATTCATAACATTGATGTTAAGGCAATAATATTTCCCCTTTATTTGGTTACGGGAATCATCAAAGCTAACGTATAGATCAAAGAATGGTGGCAAATAATATTAGAGGGGGAACAGTCAAATAGGGCATTTATTAAATCTTTTGCCTGTGGAACTAAGAAGTGAAGTTTCCATAGGTGAGCATTCCAGCATTTCTGCAATCAGCACCATCATTATGATAGGCAGCACCATCATTATGATAGGCAACCTAGACTATTGAGTGGATAAAGCAAGTATATGAGTTATGTATGAGCCCACACATGCCATGAATGGAAAGAAAGTAACCTCTTACATCTATATAAATTCTTAGAACAGACAAATGTGATAGATAGTATTCCTAATTGAGATTCTCCATAGGTGAGTTCTAGCATTTCTGCTATCAGCACCATTATTATGATAGGCAACTTTGACCATTGAATGTATATAGCAAGTGTTTGAGTTATTTAAGAAGCCATGCATGGAAAGAGAGTAACCTCTCACATCTATAAAACTTCTTAGAACAGACAAATGTGGTAGATAGTATTCCTAATTGAGATCTAAATGAGAATACAAACAAATGTGAACTAAGCAGCCAACTGCTCCAAGAAAAACAATAATCTGCTGGATGGACAAATTAGTATTCTCCAACCCAGTATATTTCCTATAGTCAAATCGAGGAAGAATGGAGGATCAGAGTGAGAGGACACAAATGAAGATCACCAAATCATTCCTAATTGAGGGAGACGTGAAAACATGGTAATGCAGAATGAGGAGTCTCAATCATATCGATCATTCAAAATTCATAACCATAAAAGAATTCTAATTGAAGCAACTTTTACCATATATGGCCAGTAAACAATTGTATTTTCTTGAAACAACCATATACTCGGCTAAACATAACCTATATTCAGGATATGGCATGAACATCTAAAAGTCAGTAAAAAGTTATCACTTCAGCATTAGGAATGGTATATAGTTTCAAATGCAAAACTAGATGTTCACTAAATAATCCACAAAAGTATAATAAATAACATGGTAAATCAAAAATTCATTGGGTAAAAAAATGGTGAGAGAGATCTCATTAAGCCAACTCAGATGGTAGCTATGACAGATCAAAATGAAGGGGTGCGGGTTTGAACCAACGGCACTCCAATTGGGTTCGGATCCGCGGTACCTCACCTATTCACCTTTAAGGGGTGAAATTTTGGCCATTAGACTACTAAACCCAAAAAAATGGTGAGAGAGAGAGAGAGTGCATACGTATAGAGTGCAACGAATATTTCTGGCACTATTCCAACCAAGGATCCAATTATGTAAGGCCCATACTTGACATTTGTTGCCACAGCACAGTAGTTGTAGATCATGTAAGGGAATGGAGAAACCCTGATTAAGGCAACTGCTCGAAACTGATGAAACCAGCTTCCACCTCCAGCAGACTTTAGGATAGAAGCCTTCTTTGGATACTTCTCCAACCATCCCTGCATAGAATCATAAAACATCATATCTAAATTAGTTCATGTAAGGAAAACACCAGCATACAGAATCTCTCAAAGGCACGGAGCATACTTCAATTTTATGATGAAAGATTGAGCCAATGATAAAAGGGAGTGAAACACCAATAGCTACTGCAGGTATTATCAGCAAAAACCCAAATCCATAACCATATTTCATTCCAGCAACCCACATAGAGGGTGTAGAAGGAAAAAGTATAGTTGGAAAAAGTGCTACTGAAGCAAACACCAAAATAGTAAGCACCGGAGGACTGAAAGTCTCTGTTTCCCAATTTATTATTGGAATAACCTCCTGAAAAATCAAAGTTAATCAAACCAATTAGATATTAGTTGACTCGGACTTTTAATAAATTACATTAACTTCATTGACTGCAAAGAATTGCTTCCAAATTCAGCAAGCAAAAATTTCATTGCATGTTACAATGTCTAAAAAAACATGTTGAAAATCCTAAAAAGCAATTTATACGCAAAACTGGTGCATCATTTTCATTCTCAAAAACAAAACATCACAACGAAAAAAAAAGCCCTAAAATATAAAACTACACAACAACAGCACAAACCTTGTCTATGAAATAGGGTCCAACCCACTTGAGCACAGCAACAGCCAAAAACCCTAAGAATAAAAACAACAACACCATTTTGATCCAGTACCACACAACGGATCTTCTCGCCGGGGGAGCACACTCCTCCTTCTCCTCCGACGCACCTAACGGTGAACCCTCATCGGAGCAAGGCAACAATTTGATATAATCTCCTTTGTTATCATCAGCTTCGATTGTGATAGTGAGGTCCGGCACTACCCCCTTTTTCAACTCATCGTCGAACCCCGTCATCGGAAAATGCACAAAAGAAAACCCTAATCGCTCGGTAACTCCAAAATCTGCAACCACGAAAAGATAAAAAGTTTCTTTTATTAAAAACAGTTAGTTGTTGATCATGTTTGGTGAATCGATTTAAGTGACATCACCACCACTTGCAATGTGAGAATCGATTGAGAAACGAAGATAGCAACGATGGTGATGATGGAAAAAAGCGCGTTTGGTTAAGGAATGAAGGAAGAGTGTGATTTGAGAATCGAGAAGACGGTACAATTTTGGAAGCGCTTTTTTCAGTTTCTTTTCTGTTGCTTGTGGAAACCCATTATCGGTGATTCAATCAGAACTCGAATGATTTGTTAAAACGACGTCGTTAAGTGCCACGTGGCTGATTTTGAAGCCGTTGAGTGTCGGGTGTAGAAAAGCAATGGTGTAGATTACTTTGAAGTGAGGATATCCACTACCGTCGCCGTTACCGTTACGTTTAGTATAATATAATATCGGTCTTTTTTTAATTATTGGATATGACTTGTTTTCTGTTGTTGTTTACATTATGAACTTTATTTTATACAACATAGGATTATAATTATGGGGTTTGATGTTGCATTTATCAAACTTTTTCCTTCAACAAAATTTCCTTTAAAAAAGGTCTCTTCTAATATTTTTCATTCACATTTTTTTCTACATATATCAGTGTCTATTAATAGAAACTGATGTGATATGTCACGTGACAATATTAGTGTAGTAAGATATTAACGTGTCATATCATATGGCTAAAGTCAACATCATTCTTAAATTTATAAAATTCCGTAGTTAATCGGTCGTTAAAATCGTAGTTAATCTATAACAAATTCATTGTAGAAATTCTAGATCTGAAAAAATATCGAATGTTCATGTTAATGCATAGGACTTATTAGAGAAACCTCCATTAATGATAAGAAGAGAAACCTCTATTAAATATTGGTTAATTTATGATTTCCTTGGTTGATATCTTATAGACTCATAACTTGATATAATAAAAGTAGAATTACTTACCAAAGAATTTAAGAAAAAAATGATAATATTCTTTCTATTATTAATTTATATCTGCTATTGAAACACTTGAAATATCTATAGTTTTATTTTGTTACAAAATTATAACTGAATATATAAAGATCGAAAATAGTGAAAGAAGACGTATAACATATAAAATATCATTTTTAAAAGTTGTATTTCTTAAATAATTTCAATAATATTTATATTTATGGTGTCTCAATTTCCAAGTTTGAAGGTTTTGTTTTCAATATAGAGCAATCTTATGAAGATCATATTGAAGAGTAAAGTAGTTGTCTCAGTTTGTGTTTATATCATTTTTGTTCAAAGTATATATTTTCATATAGTTCGAGTAATTATGGATCTTTGCTTTCAGGCTATTGTATGTAACTTTTTATGAGTCAGTTTGTGCTGAGATAGAAAGTTATGAGTAAACCATATTAAGGTTGCTTGTGATATATTATTGATCTGTACGAATAGGCTGCCATTATCAATCACATCTCATGTAGATGTTTTTAGCTCTAAAATATAATTTTGCCCTAGATTTGATAGTTTTTAGTGCAAGATAATATTTTCAAGCTTCTAAATGCCAACATTTTCCAGTTTCTGCTTTGTTACACATCAAAGTGTGTGCTTCTAGTAGTGGACATCTTTTGTGTTTTGGGACATAAACAACATGATAACAATCTAACTATATGTAGAAATAATTACCAGAGTTTAATAAGTAATCCAGAATATCCTTAATATAGAAATTTAATTATTTATCACTTATTTTCGGTAATGTATGTTAGACTACGACACCAGATTTAGAGGGGGTGAATAGATTCCCAAATAAAAATTATCTTTCAAAAAGATTATTTAAAATTTATTTGAAAAATAATATTGAGCGGAAGGATTTTGGCCTAGATCAACATAGTAGTCTAAACGAACTTAGTTATTGGAAACTCGGATATGCACGAGCCATATGGAATTAATTATGATGATAAAATCAATCAACATAATAATATCTCAATTAATCGTTTAATATTCAACACAACAGTTTCTTATTTCCAATGAAATCATATTTAAAACATAACATGACAATTCATCGAACATGTGGCGTGTAATCAATTTTTCAGAATTTTCTTTGAGATTTGTTTATATGCAAAAGCACTTACAACTAAAGTGATTATAAGCTAATCAACAAAGCAATTTAAGATTTAATAATCAAAGATAAATTCTATACGAATCAATCAATCAAATAACACATTCAACGCATTGCATATAGAGAGTAAATGAAAGTAAGAGATAGAACATTGCAATTTTCTTTTGAGTTAAACAAGCTAAACAATTTGTCAAACACTTGGTGTGCAAGTGAATTTTCAGAATTTTTCTTTAAGTTTTTTTTATACACAAAAGCATTTATAATCAAAAGTGATTGTAAGAAATATCAAAACTTGATGTAAATAAAAAACAATTTGGAAAATTACTTACAATTTAATTGATAATGCAATGCTATTTGACAAATTTATTGAAGAATATTAAAGCAAGTAAAAGCGGTAAAAGAAAAGATACACAAGGATTTGTTTAGGAAGTTCCCCACTTTCGTCCTCGCATGTGGGTACATCTCCCCTCAATTCCAAATTTGGAATTAGGATTTTTTTTTACTTTGCAAAAGCATGAATACAAAAGAAGTGTTCAGAGCAACTATACAAAACATAATTGTTTGATGTCGATTCAATCCCTTCTCTTCTTTTGATCTTCAACAAGACCAAGACCAATAGATGCAACCTATTCTCCGCTTACGCTACTTCCTTAAAAGGATTTCAAACACCCCAAGGTTCCTTGCAAAGCTTTCAAACACTCCAAGGGATTTTTCAGTCGAGTAAATCCAATTGCAAACTATCAACACAAGATCACCGACTCTATCATCCAATTCTTGCTACTTCATTAAAAAGATTTCAACCACTCTAAGGTTCCTTGAAAAGATTTCAAACACTCCAAGAGATTTTTCACATGGATGATCCTTCGCACGATCTTGCACGAAAACCCCCAATTCAATAAATGATGTTGGAGGACAAACTCGTTGGTTTTTCTGGATGAAGATTCCTACAAGAACTCAATCTAAAGCAATTGGAAATCTACAATTCTTCGTCTAGATGTCACCCTGATGGAACATCATCACAATATAATGTTGGTGTGTATGCATAGATTGGAAGGTTGAAGATGAAGATAAAAAATAGGCTAATTTTATGGTATCATCAAGTTGGAATGATGCATGAATGATATATTTATAGTTGAACTCTTTTTAGGTAAAAGAGAGTAGTTTCGGAATGAAAACATGACCCACAAAATAGTATGTATCGACCTGAAAAATTTATGTGTCGGCACATGAGAAACAACGGCTAAAGCTTTAATAATATAGTACATGTGCTGACACATAAATCATATGTGTCGATGCATAGGGCCCTTTAAGGTTTCCAGACCGGCCCACTAAAATTATTAAAGTCTTATTTTTCATGATAAGTTAGGGGGTGTATATTCTAAGCCAAGGAGGCCCATAAAGTATTTTATTTTGTTAAGGCCCCAATGAATTAAAATAGTGTGGCCCGTTTGGTTTTTAAGTTAGAAGATATTATTTTGTTTTTAATGATAACAATTTAATCATTATTATCAATATTACAATTACTTTTTATACTAATATTGATTTTAATATTAAAACTTAATTAAAATTGTTTTCTGTTTTATTGATTAAAAGTGAAGTGTTGATAAAGAGCTTTTTTTTCTTTCACGGCCCAAGACTAGTCAATTATGGATAAAAACATTTTTTGGTGAATCAGAAAAAAAGTGCAGTCCAAGCACATGGCCCAGAACGCTTCACTACTGTCCAAACCCAAGACCAAATCAATAGCTATTGTACAAATTGGCCAAAATTAACGCATCAAGTCTTTATCAACATTTTCATATCTTTACATTCATCTCTCTAAATACATAAACAATTAATTTCCAATAAAAGAACATAATCAAGAACAAATCTGTATAGAATAATATCATAAACAGAAATAAAATCTGGAATTATTACAGACTAAATCTAAATGCAGAAATTTATTAAAAATAATCAAAACCAAATTATAACATAATCGGACCGATTTACAGACAAATTGAATTGCTTCCTAATATACATAAACCCTAATCAATAAAATTGAAAACACATTAAATCAATTTCCTAATCATCTAATTTCCTAAAAATCACTATAAAACCTAAACAAAAAAAAATCAGAGAGGGAAGAATTACAGAAAAGAAAATTATTAGAAGGAGGAAAATTCGTAACAAAAGAAGGACAGAGAAGCCTCGCCACTGTAATCCTTGTTCACCATCGCCTAGGGTTTCAACATCTGAACCCCTAGATCTAGTTGTCATGTCGTCGCCTCCATCAAATCACCGCCTTAACCATAATCAGATATGGATGAGTCATTTGGAAGCTCCCAAAACGAATTTCATGACCAACAGGAGTAACTACTATTACGAAGTGATGTCGTTAGGTCTTAAAAATGTAAGGGCTACCTATCAGCGTTTGATGGATATGGTGTTTGTGAAGGTGCGAGAAACACAAGAAAGAGGGGTTTGAATTGGGTTGCGCTAAATATAATCTTTTTGTAACTCAAACACAAAGCTAACAAGCCAATAAAAATAGATGAATGATGAATGCTTGATTCATGGAAATTTTTACATCATTACATAACAATTATCTTACTTAATTGAAAAGATTATAATATAAAAAACCTCAATTATTGAATAAAAGTGTTATTGTGAAATTTTACTTGTTTTAGTGTGTTTTGTGTAGGATTTGGTCCCTAAAGCAAAAACCAACTATCAGACACTTTGCTAAGCAAGCTGTAGCAAAAAGAACAATTCACTTAGCAAGGAATAGTTCACATAGCGAACATAAGACAGAAGTAAATTAACAGTTTTTGCCAGCAACAAGGAGAAGCGAAGCAGTTCGCTT